CCGCTTTGAAAAAACACACCTTGAGCGATTTCTGTTTTGTTTGGGCAGCTGGGCCCCAAACATCCCTGTTCCCTGGCACCTTTGACCTTGGAGACGTCGCAGCAACTCTTGAAAAGAAAAAATCAGGATTGTTGCGAAGTCCGGTAAGTATGCAACGCATTGTAAATTCCTAGAGAGACTTTGGGGGCATTTTGGGTTCCAGGGTAAAGTTGTACGGCCTTTAGTGTGGAATGCCATGTGATTGCAGCAAGGCTCAGTAGGGCATCCCATAATTATATTGGAGGTTGCCAATGTTGGAAGCGGGTCCAAGGAGTCACAGCCCTGGGCACGAGATTTTGAGACTAAAAACGCAACAGAATCGCACATGACAAAGAAGGGGATGGGGAGCAGGGCTCGGCTAACAGATCGATCTCCATTCAGGTACAGGATAAAACGGAGCATGCACGAAGAATTTATGTCAGCAATGACCCTATTTCTCTTAATGACACTGATGGCTTGCGTGGTCTGTGAGGCCTTGCAAGGCCAATGGCTGTTATAGCGGGATTATTGCACAGAGGATTGGGTGTTTTGATGCATGTAGATCATTCATAAAACCGCAATCAGCACAGCAACCAAGATCTATGCAGAGACAAGGCTACATCTTGGCCTTTTTTCTGTACATGCTGCTGATGTGGGCGATATTGCGTCGAACGGGGTGTTTGCAGCGCAAACACCTCCTTGTGCTTGGCCTGCTGCCGTTGGTTATTGGCGTTTTTCTGGTGGGGATAGCAACTTGATTGCGTGCCTATACAGTTTAACGATGCTCAACGATGTTCAATGGAGACCAGGTTGAAGGTTCATATATCTATATATATATATATACTTGTTATATAATGTATTTGTCGTTCGGTTTTTAGAGCACACTGAACGCGACAGAGTGCTTTCGTGAAAAAACAATTGAACAGAAACGGCGAGGTGGATTGGTTGGCGCCAGACGTGCGCAATCACTCCCTCGATGCTACACAGCTGCAATCATCACACAAGTGACTAAACTGACCCGCCCCTTAAAGACCCCGATGCCACATGCTCAGCAAGAGCGTGATCATGGGGTTAATTCAGACAACCCGGGATGACTCTGTCTTTCTTTCGGGAAAACGTCCGGACGGGGTGTTCCAGAAATGTGTGTTGCACTGATTTGACATTTCTTAGTTTGTCTCGTATGTGCATTAAATTCGGCCCAGAGATGATTCTTCAAGAGTAGCTTTGAAACGACCAACATGAGCACGGCGCGCAACATACTGCTTTTCCTGGAGTTATCAGCTTCAAAACTATTGCCTTCAGAATGTACAAATGTACAGGATCAGCTTTTACTCCCTTGAATGCAGGGCCAAACATAAGGCTAATGTGGACCTTTGGGCGTTAAAATGCAAACCTGAAATAGTATCGTTGTGTTTTTTGGGAAGAACTTAGCTGTAGTATTCGTAACCTGGGAGTAGACCTTTTTGTTAGACACCAGCAATCGGCCTTGGCGCTATACTGTTAACATTTGCCTAGACAAAATCATTCAACTTAGATTGTCAGAACAATTTTGTTTTATCCACCTGTTGGTGGTTCTTGGTATTTGGGGATAGTCATATCATGATTGGGTGGCTTTTGTTTCGGTCTTGGGGGCTGCGTATGTGGCTGGGACCTGCTTGCATGCTTGAACCCAGAGACAACCAGACATGAGGGCCAAAATTGAAACCCAAGATGGCACCATCAAAACGATATCTGGCAAATTCATGTGGTACTGACAGGTCTTCGGTACTTCTTAGCTATGGAAAGGATGCCAACAGGTCAAAAAAAGTTTTTGTCGGTTTCGAATCGAATGCGGGTCCTGGTCCACTGGGAAGAAGGCCGTGAAGGGGTTGAAGGCCATGGCGTTTCCCTATCCGCCCTATCCACTCCAAATTCATCAGTCCCAAGACTCCTGAAACTCTTAAAATCATCAAAAAGAACCATCAACCATCAATTTTGCCCAAATCCAGGAACCTGATTGAAATGGCTCTGAAAGGACACCCGAGCTAAGATTCATAGTTTTGTTTTTGTTTCCATTTTCAGAGTCTCCTGGATGTCATTTTGTCAAAGCATGATTCACTCACCTGCTCCCTTTGGAGCATTTGTCGTATCCTAGAGCCCGCAGAACCAAAGTTACAGCGCCTGCAGTCACTGCAGTGGCTCGATTTTCATATGGGCTGCAGGAAGAAAGAAATAGTATTTACGGCCCGGCGCTCATGGATTTCAAACGCACGCGCGCACACGTGAAACATAGACGCAATTGTCCAAACTGGTGCGCAGAGCCAACAAGTCCTTGAAGCTAGGGCTCACTCACCTGTTGCTGAGGTTGTCGCAGCTATGGGCTTCGTATTCATAATGCTTCCTGCATTCAGACGTGAAGCTATACTTGGACATGGATGGTTTGCTTCGCGTGGTGCTAGCACCATTGTGCAGGTTTCACAAGTGAAATCTTGTCTTTTGGATTGTCAGCACGAACTCTTTGAGGTTTGCAATATCGAGCCTTTTTCTGCCTTTGACAAGGTGCAGAGAAGCGTGCACAGATTACTGGATGGGTCTCCTGATGAACTTTGAGTAGGTTCCAAAATCGTCTTCCCTTTTTCCCCGCAAGACCTCTGTGAGAACAAACTTGGTGCCTTTCTCTCTTTCTGCATCGTGGCTGTTGGGATGCAGTTGCCGAATAAATTTAAATAATATTCATGCCGGACGCGTCACTTTGCTTGGTGTAGTCCCTCTTCAGTCCCACCATACGTCAGCCCTATTGGTGGACTTCTGGGTGAAGCAACCAAGTTTTCAATTCCAACAGCGCCCTCTAACCACAGCCTGTTTCGGAGGATTCGAAAATATGGCGGCCACTGGAGGGTTACTTTTCTTTCAATGGTGGGTGTGCTGACGTGGCTTCTTTTCTACGCAGCTTGGACTTTTTAAATTGTTTTTGCGCTTTGCCTTTGCTCTCTGCATGTTTTCAAACGAGTGAAATCCCGATCCTTGTCCCCGAGTATCTTGCCCTTGAAGGCAGTGTATGCTGTGTACCTACAAGAGCCTCTTTGGACTGCATTGCAGTGTCATTTGTGTTTCGTTTGGAAGATGGCTCTCCGATAATGATTATCCCAGCAGGGAGGCTCCGCGAATTTGCATATGCTGCATATGGTATATCTTTTAGATTCTTTTCGCCTTTTTTCATAAAGAAGCAGCCTCCAGGAGCTTTCAAAATCTCAGCTGGCAATTCCTGCTGGATTCCTAGAAGTGGAAGGAGTCACAGACAGCCGAGTCACAGCCACAATTTCGATCATGTCTGACATGTCTCAATTTTTTGGACACATCATGGTTGTACATGTTTGGTCATGTTTGTACCATCTAGTCTATACTGTGAGTGAGTTTAAGGTATGCATCTGTCCTGCAGACCTTGGCCCTCAACATTGGCCCACCTTTGCTGGCTTGTCTCTTGCATCTCTTGAATCTCTTGCATCTCTTGCAACAAAATTGTGACTAATCGGATGAAATCGGGATGAATTGAAGCGATCGGCCCAGTGGGTGTCAGCAAATGTGCTGAAACTTAGTCCATTCCTGTGCAGCATAGGTTACATTTGGTCTTTCCTTTTGGCATGGGGGGTCTCGTTCTCAGTCTAGCCCCGTGCCTTGAGACATTTTATCCCTTAGCAACTTGTACACAACTGATTCAAATTGGTGAGGTTCGAATGCAGATTGTGGACAGAGATCCGTCTGTGACTGAACATGTAATGAAGCTTGGCTCCAAAGTCCTCACTTTCCAACAAACCAAAGGCTTTAGCTGTTGAGCTTGCACGGGATTAATGTGCTCAGTTGAACATGGATGGCTCTGGGTGTGAGACTTCCACAGACCAGAGCTTTGAACATGCTGCAAATGCTTGTGCGTACGATATAATTAGCAGATTAATTCTGCAGATGCCCGTGTGGTCATTTCCAATCCAAGGGAGCTTTGCAATAAAAACATTGCAGATGGGAATTGGCTTCGGATTTCTGCATATGGATGGCTTCATTCTTAGGCAAGGTGTTGCAGATCTTCGATCCTCCACAATCAATATTGTGGAAGAGGTTGCCTCCACTTCCGGGATCAACGCAGGCCTGGCGGCACTTTTCAAGATTTGCCGAAGAAAGTGTTTGTTTGCGATGATTGTCGTCGCCTTTTTAAAGCGCTTCGTGAGGTTTTTGTCTTTGCGCCTCCTCGCAAACCACAAGTACAGACAGTGACACCTCGAGCACAAGTTCGGTGTCGGATTCAAATTCCGTCAATAGCTGAACAGGAAGCTATGCACCTAACAGAATGCTATGCTGAATGCGTTTGTGTTTCAGCAGTGTCTGTTTGGAGGTCTTGTCCAAGTCTAAGTCTCGCGCCCATTTTCATCCTTCTGAAACCTCCTGATTCTGTGGTGCCCTTCAAGTTCAAAGCTCCAAACCCTGGAAAATGCATTGAATTGTATACATGATAGAGGTCCTTCGACTGAAGCTTGAGACGGTCGAACCACATTTTGAGTCTCCTGAAGGACCTTTTTGCGACGTGAACGGAATGCTACTCCGGCCAAGTCGGAGACATTCTGCTGCGCGCAAGCAATTTTAAAGGCTTTTGTGTGCCTAACGCTCCATGGTTGCTCTACCGATGAGATGCTTCTGAACACCTCTAATAGTGCAGAGTTCATCACAAACCAATGAGTTGGCAAAAGATAGCGCGCTTGTGTTTGCCTACGGAAGCATTCGGAGGAACGACGTCCATTGATTCTGCGGCCATGGCACTGGGACCAGATCTTTTTGGTCAGAATCTGTGCAGACGTGCAAAAGGAAGCCGCTTTGCAAAGTATTTGCACAAAGCGGTTTAGGTTTTGGGCACTCTTTATCAAAATATTCCAAATGCATAAAACGAATCACAATTTGTGTAGGTCTCTGTGATAAAACGAATCTCGCAGATCCAACAGCTTTGGATCGACTCCAAGGCCCTTTGGTGCACCTCACGTCCTCTGTCATTGCCGAGAGCCTATTGTCAAATCATACTATGTTGTCAAGATATGTCAAGATTGTATTTTCTTAAGCATAAACATCAAAAAACTAACCCAGCAAATCTTGAGATGTGCGTGAATGTTTTGAGAACATTCAGCTCCATTTTCTATATTCCATTTTCCAAGAGCAAGATGCGCATGCCATATATCGAAAGGGATGCTTCACTTTCGCCAAGCTTCAGGCCGCGGTAGTTGGCACTACGTGCCATATGCCGTTTGATGTGGTGCTTACCATGTGCCCTACCGATATCTTGTAGCAATCATGGCCTGAAAAGCCGGTGGAAGACTGAAACAGTATCTTGAAAGGCCTTGCTGATGTACCCTTTCAGGTATCAAAGTGCACATAGTTTGGGTGGTGAGCGCTATGACCGGTATGGTCGCCATGGACCATTGGGCTGTGCGCTTGCCCTTGTTCAAGAGCCTGACACTGAGAGTGCAAGTCGTGACAAATGTGTTATCATAAATGCAAAAAATGATAGTGAATTAGATGGATATCATATGATATTATCATACATAATATATGTGAATGTATGTATTGTAAAGTAATGTAATGTAATGATTTGTTATCTTATGTTATGTTACGTATGGTATGGTATGGTTTGTATGGTATGGTATGGTATGTATGCTATGGTATGGAATGGTATGGTGTGGTATGGTATGGTATGGATGGATGTATGTATGGATGTATGGATGTATGGATGTATGGATGTATGGATGTATGGTATGTAAGGTATGTATGGTATGTAAGGTATGTATTGGTATGTATTGGTATGCATTGGTATGTCTTGGTGAGTCTTGGTATGTATTGGTATGTATTGGTATGATTTTGGTATGTGTTGGTATGTGTTGGTATGTGTTGGTATGTGTTGTTATGTGCTGGTATGTGTTGGTATGTGTTGTTATGTGTTGGTATGTGTTGGTATGTGTTGGTATGTGTTGGTATGTGTTGGTATGTGTTGTTATGTGCTGGTATGTGTTGGTATGTGTTGTTATGTGTTGGTATGTGTTGGTATGTGTTGGTATGTGTTGGTATGTGTTGGTATGTGTTGGTATGTGTATGTATGTATGTACGTACGTACGTACGTACGTATGTATGTATGTATGTATGCTTGCAATGTATGCAATGTATGGTATGGTATGGTATGGTATGCAATGCATGTAATGCATGTAATGCATGTATGTATGTCTGTATGTATGTATGTATGTATGTATGTATGTTTGCAATGTATGCAATGTATGCAATGTATGCAATGTATGGTATGGTATGGTATGGTATGGTATGCAATGCATGTAATGTATGTAATGTATGTAATGTAATGTAATGTATGTAATGTATGTAATGTATGTAATGTATGTAATGTATGTAATCTATGTAATGTATGTAATGTATGTAATCGATGTAATCGATGTAATCTATGTAATGTATGTAATGTATGTAATGTATGTAATGTATGTAATGTATGTAATGTATGTAATGTATGTAATGTATTTTCAGTAATGTAATGTAATGTAATGGTATGTTATGTAATGTTTTGTGATGTTGTGTAATGTTTTGTAATGTTATGTAATGTTTTGTAATCGTGCTGTAATGTATGTAATGCTTTGTGATGTATGCAATGTTATGTAATTGTTTTCAATGTTGTGTAATGTTTTGTTTTGTATGTAATGTATGTAATGTATGTAATGTTATGTAATTGTTTTCAATGTTGTGTAATGTTTTGTTTTGTATGTAATGTATGTAATGTATGTAATGTATGTAATGTATGTAATGTATGTAATGTATGTAATGTATGTAATGTATGTAATGTATGTAATGTATGTAATGTATGTAATGTATGTAATGTATGTAATGTATGTAATGTATTTATGTAATGTATGTAATGTATGTAATGTATGTAATGTATGTAATGTATGTAATGTATGTACTGTATGTAATGTGTGTCATGTATGCAATGTATGTTTGTTTGTTTGCCTGTATGTATGCATGCATACATGCATGCATGTATGTCTGCAATGTATGTAATGTATGTATGTATGGTTGCAATGTATGTAATGTATGTATGTATGTATGTATGTATGTATGTGTGTATGTATGTAGGTAGCTAGGTAGGTAGGTAGGTATGGTATGGTTTGGTTTGGTATGGTATGGTATAGATGCATGCATGTATGGATGTATGGGTGTATGGATGTATGGTATGCATGGTACGTAAAGTATGTATGGTATGTATGGTATGCATGGTATGTATGGTATGTATGGTATGTACGGTATGTACGGTATGTATGTTATGTATGTTGTGTATGTTATGTATGTTTTGTTATGTTTTGCTATGTTATGTTTTGTATGGTGTGGTATGGTGTGGTATGGTATGGTATGGACGGATGTATGTATGGATGTAAGGATGTATGGATGAATGGATGTATGGATGTATGGTATGTAAGGTATGTATGGTATGTAAGGTATGTATGGTATGTATGGTATGTATGGTATGTACGGTAGGTATGGTATGTATTGGGATGTCTTGGTATGTATTGGTATGTATTGGTATGTCTTGGTGAGTCTTGGTATGTGTTGGTATGTATTGGTATGATTGGGCATGTGTTGGTTTGTATTGGTATGTATTGGTATGTATTGGTATGTATTGGTATGTACTTGTATGTATGTATGTACGTACGTACGTATGTATGTATGTATGTGTATGTGTATGTGTATGTGTATGTGTATGTGTATGTGTATGTGTATGTGTATGTGTAGTGTATGTGTATGTGTATGTATGTAACGTATGGTATGGTTTTGTATGGTATGTAATGTATGTATGTATGGTGTGCAATGTAATGTATGTATGCAATGTATGCAATGTATGCAATGTATGCAATGTATGCAATGTATGTAATGTATGTAATGTAGGTACTGTATGTAATGTATGTAATGTAGGTAGTGTATGTAAGGTATGTAATGTATGTAATGTATGTATTAAATGTAATGTATGTATGTATGTATGCATGTATGTATGTATGTATGTATGTTCAGCTATGTACTGTAATGTAATGTAATGGTATGTTCTGTTATGTTATGTAATGTTGTGTGATGTTATGTCATGTCATGTCATGTAATGTAATGTAATGGTATCTAATCTTACATAATGTAATGTAATGTAATGTAATGTGATGTAATGTAATGTAATGTAATGTATGTAATGCTTTGTGATGTATGCAATGTATGCAATGTATGTAATGTATGTAATGTATGTAATGTATGTAATGCATGTAATGAATGTAATGTGTGTAATGTATGTAATGTATGTAATGTATGTAATGTATGTTTGTTTGTTTGCTTGCCTGTATGTATGCATGCATGCATGTATGTCTGCAATGTATGTAATATATGTTTGTATGTTTGCAATGTATGTACTGTATGTATGTATGTATGTATGTAAGTAGGTTGCTAGGTAGGTAGGTAGGTAGGTATGGTTTGTTTTGGTTTGGTATGGTATGGTATAGATGTATGGATGCATGGATGTATGGATGTATGGATGCATGGATGTATGGATGTATGGATGTATGGTATGCATGGTATGCATGGTATGTATGGTATGTATGGTATGTATGGTATGTATGGTATGTATGGTATGTATGGTATGTATGGTATGTATTGTGTGTATGGTGTGTATGTTGTGTATGATATGGCATGGTATGGTGTGGTGTGGTGTGGTATGGTATTGTATGTATGTATGTATGTATGGACGTATGGTATGTAAGGTATGTATGGTATGTAAGGTATGCATGGTATGTATGGTAGGTATGGTAGGTATGGTAGGTACGGTAGGTACGGTAGGTATGGTATGTACTGGGATGTCTTGGTATGTATGGGTATGTATTGGTATGTCTTGGTATGTATTGGTATGTGTTGGTATGTGTTGGTATGTATTGGTATGTACTTGTATGTATTGGTATGTATTGGTAAGTATTGGTATGTATTGGTTTGCATTGGCATGTATTGGTATGGTATGGTATGGTATGGTATGCATTGGTATGTATATATGTATGTATGTAATGCATGGTATGGTTTTGTATGGTATGTAATGTTATGTAATGTTTTGCAATGTAATGTAATGTAACGTAATGTAATGTAATGTAATGTAATGTAATGTAATGTATGTAATGTATATAATGAATGTAAAGTATGTTCAGCAATGTAATGTATGTAATGTATGTAATGTATGTAATATATGTAATGTATGTAAAATATGTAATGTATGTAATGTATGTCATGTATGTCATGTATGTAATGTAATGTATGTAGTGTATGTATGTGTATGTGTATATATATATGTATATATGTATATATGTATATATTTAAATATGTATATATGTATACATGTATATATGTATATATTTAAATATGTATATATGTATACATGTATATATGTATGTATGTATGTATGTGTGTGTATGTATGTATATATGTATATACGTATATATGTATATATGTATTTATGTATATATGTTAGTAATGTTATGTAATGTTATGTAATGTTATGTAATGTTTTGTAATGTTATGTAATGTTTTGTAATGTTGTGTTATGTTCTGTTTTGTTATGTTTTGTCTTTTTCTGGTTTGGTACGTTATGTATATCTGTAATGTATTAATGTATGTATGTATGTAATGTATGTATGGTATGGTATGGTATGGTTTGGTTTGGTTTGGTATGTATGGTATGTATGGCATGTATGGCATGTATTGTATGTATGGTATGTATGGCATGTATTGTATGTATGTAGTGTATGTAGTGTATGTAGTGTATGTAATGTATGTAATGTATGCAATGTATGTAATGTATGTACTGTTCGTAATGCTTGTAGGTATGTAATGTATGTACTGTATGTAATGTAGGTAATGTAGGTAATGTAGGTAATGTAGGTAATGAAGGTAATGTATGTATGTAATGTATGTGTGTATGTATGTATGTATGTATGTTTGTATGTATGAAATGTATGTAATGTAATGTAATGTATGTATGTATGTATGTAATGTATGTATGTGTGTATGTATGTAATGTATGTATGTGTGTATGTATGTATGTATGTATGTATGTATGTACGTATGTACGTACGTATGTATGGTATGTGTGTATGGTATGTGTGTATGGTATGTGGGTATGGTATGTTTGTATGGTATGTGTGTATGGTATGTATGTATGATATGTATGTATGGTATGTATGTATATTATGTATGGTATGTATATTATGTATGGTATGTATATTATGTTTGGTATGTATGGGATGTATGGTATGTACGGTATGTACGGTATGTATGGTATGTATGGTATGTATGGTATGTATGTTTTGTTTGTTTTGTTTGTTTTGAAGTTGTGTATGTTATGTATGTAATGTATGCTATGTATATAATGTGTGTAATGTA